ATCAGATAGATCACCATTGTAAGGGCGGAAACGATCTTCCTGCTCGTTACCGCTGCTAACTCTCTCGTTTGCTGGTGCGACCAACACGTGGGGGAGGTTGGACAGAGATGAGAACAGCAGCGACTACTTGTGTCACAGGCAGATTCACCCCAGCCGCCATACAGTCACTATCTAGCTACCCTTCGTCAAATTCTGGCTGTGATCTCATCATAGGTCCTGGACTCTGGGCTGTTTTCCCAGGCCTTCATCTATCGACTGTCATTTCTCTGGACATCAACCACTACCGCTGCTGCCACGACCGCCAGCTCCTCTCCACCGTCTGTGCCCTGGTGTTTCGTCCGCTGTCGCTTGATTGTGGAGTTGGATGGACGCTTCCCTACCCTGAGTGTGGATCACCGTGTTCCAGAACCTTCCTCCAGGGCCACTGCCGTAGGAAATATCTGTTCATTGTTTGATTCTATGGCTGTTTGATTCCATTTATTGCTGACTCCCCTTTATTATTCGATTCTATCAATTGTTGACTCCCATTAATTGTTTGATTCCATTACTTGCTGACTCCCATTAATTGTTCGATTACTTTAATTGTTTGCTTCCCTTAATTGTTTAACTCCATTAACTATTGACTGCATTAATTGTTTGACTCCCGTAATTATTTGATGTTTGTTGAGTGGTGTCACAGTTTTGTGTTATATTTTTATAGTAAAGAGATGTCAATCTCAAACTGTTGTTTGTTATTCCTCCGAAAACCATGGTCCTTGACATTCCTTTATTAAGATCCTGATTAGTCTGGTAAGGGATTTCTATCCCTAAATCCCAGGCCTTTACAACCATGTAATACAAATGAACGCCTTGTTGTCTGCAGGTTTTGACCACATCAATAAATATTGAATGCGTCAAAAAACGGGTTTCAATCATTCCCATCTACTTGCCCGTGACCTGAACGTCCTTAATTAAGGCGTTTACAGTCAAACAAGTACGGGAGGCCGTCGAAGGGAATACTCAACTACCAGGAGAAAAAAAGGAACACAGGACATGTCACCAACGCCAGGAGTTCAGCGTGGGACAACGTAGATCGTCAGTCAGCCACCCACCCACAGTGGGTGGGACATCGGCGCGGAAGACAGTGCCGTATGTTTGAATGAATTGTTCAAATATCTGAGGGGTTGTCATAAAGTTTCGGTTCAAGCGTACGGTGCTGTGAGCGTTTGTTCGCAACGAGCCAGCCCGCGCACCCAGTGAACGAATATTCACTACACTCGGACAGCGTCGTAAAGTTTCGGTCCGAGCGGACAGGCTGTTATTGTTCATTCTGGACAGGCAAGCCCACCCTCCCAGTGATTATACGTGTGTGTGTGCACCAATGATCATAACGGGCAGCTGACCGGGTTTGAGGTAACAAATAACAAACTCAGCGAATTACAAGGTAAGTGTGATTAAATTGACTTAATATCACTTCAATTTGTGACACCGTAAACAACCTGCAGTGATCCACTTGTAGCCATAAGCAACCTACAGTGATTCACTTGTAACACCGTAAGTAACCGGCAGTGAAGTGTCACTTGTAACACCATAAGCAACCAACAGTGTCCTACTATTGTCAAACCTACATACAAGCAGCGAGCCACTACTATTGTCAAACCTACATACAAACAGCGAGCCAAACCACCGAACGAAAATACAGTCAGTGAGCAGTGGTTCATTGAACAAACTTTGAGACCTAACTGGAGCCGCAAATAATTGTCAATAAGAGGACCAGAGGTAGTGGAAATGGATCCAGAGCAACGAAAGGGAAATGTGAACTGAGACCCACAGGCAGAAGTTGTCCCTCCGGGGCTGAAGGACCACGATGTTACGGCCACAGAAGCTGAAAGGGGCCACCCTCTGCCTGAGTCTGAATGTTCAGCACCTGACCAAAATCCCGGATCTAACATAATGGCAGAAGTGCGACGAACTGTGACTGAAATGCTGGAAGCGTATTTTGCAAAAGGGAACACAGCATGGCGTTTGGACGAAGGGAATGATCAAACCAAGCTGAAGACAACATCAGGGGCGACTCTTGGCAAGTCTCCCACTGGGATGACTGGACGCCCCAAGGGCCGCGAGGAATCGACCGACAAAGACGAAGAGGTGCAACGAGTTGAAATGGAGCAGCCTGAAAGTAGAGAGAAGTACGGCGTCAAGGAAGAATCCGGCAACACCTCAACTTCACTGAAGGATATGTTGTCATCCTACAACATGCAAAATGCACGCATCCCTACTTTCAAGGGGGAGAGCCGTGGTGAATATTGGGACTATATGTGTTACCGCAAGCGGTACATAATTATGATAACATATATACAAATGTTATGTTAGGCTGTGACTCATGTCATGTTTATTGGGCGTGCGTGCCCGTATGCAATGTAGAGTGTTGAGATGGTTGAAGATGAGAGGCCCAGAAGGAGGTTGGAGGGTGTGAAGGGAGTTTGTTTATGTATAATTATAATCACCTGACTCAGCCATAGCTGACCAGCCAAGGGGCCAGGCTATAGGGTGAGCATTTCAGTATAGCTACCCATATCTTAGAGTCAACACCTACCCTGGCTTCTCTCTAGACTTTCAACACGTAAGTTTAACTAGTACTTATTGTGTACATAGGTAGACTGTGTCATTGTTTTTGTGTTAAGATTAGACTAATTACATAGCCATATATATATTGGATTAAACATTTATGTAAGAGTGCCTATGTATGACTTATTTGAAATACTAAATGAATTGTATTCAACAGGTATGACCGAATTATAATGTTCGTGTACGACGTGAGAAGTATTATTCACCCTCTAACCGTCTGATTGGCGGTTACAATATGAATAGCTTCAAGAGATTTGTGGGAACCTCCGCTGCCCCAGATTCGGAGAAACTTCAAATGTTAATCCACTCGTGTTCAAGTAGTATTCGGAATGTTCTGAACCCATTCACCAGGATGAAGTCCTCTGAGGGCTATGGAAAGGCCCTGAGCACCCTGAAGGACCAGTATGGAGATGAGGACGCCCATATCGAAGAGTTATTGATGAACCTGATCAACGGACCACCTGTCAAAATAACCAACGGCGAGGGCCTGCAGGATTTGGCCGACGAACTTCAGGTGTGCATTTGCAGCTTCGAGTCCATGGACTCACAAGAAACCCTCGAGCATCTCCTCGTAAAGAAAGGCATAATTGAAAGGCTTCCTGGTCGTTTACAAGAAAGGTATGAGATTGCAGTCCTCGATCACCCTCCAAAGAGATATGGCCATATGAAAATAAGGGACATCTGGCAGTTCATACAGAGCAGAGCGAAGGGGGCAAAAAGGGCGCATACTCGATACACTAGCTTGAGGTACGAGGGAAAAGACCGATCTAGCAAACAAACCATATCTCTTGTAACCAACAACGTGGGAGAACAAGATTGTCCACTTTGTCATGGCCCTCATCGGCTGCCACAATGCTCAAACTTCCGGAAGTTAACAAAGATGGAAAAAAGGATACAGTCAACGAGTTGGGCTATTGCTTCTTGTGCTTAAGGGTCCGGCACCAAGCTAGCAACTGTATGTCTGGCTTCCGCCAATGCGACATCGACGGGTGTGGTAAGGCACATTCAAGATGGCTCCACCTGCCAAAGGAAGGGACAGGCGTGCCGCCAAGGAAGGCAAGTGGGAGCAGCCGCCAGATCATAAAATCGAGTAGGGTAGATGCTGACGTTAAGGAAGGCTGAGGATTCAAGAGAGAACGCTGTGACCTCGAAGATAGAGAACAGAGTGGTGGAACCGGAGGAAGGAAGAATAGAAAGAGAGAGCCCCAAGAAGATGACCAAGGCAATCAGCTGAGGCGGTTCGACCAAGACGACAACAGGCAAGAAGAGAGTACATATGTGAATTACGTGGGTACTACTGTAAGAGGGCGAGATCAATGACTAAGCCAAGACAAGGTCGCGCTTCCACTACTAGAAGTGCAAGTAATGAAAAAGGGGTTCACAGGGTCGGAGAGAAACACGGCGCTACTGGACACAGGCAGCGACCGGTCTTACTGTGCCAAAAGACTGGTCGAAAGACTAAGAATATGAGGGAAACCAACATCACTCTTCATAAAACGTTAACCCAAGGGGAACAATGTAACACCAAAGAAGTAGATCTGGAAGTAAGAGGCATTAACACCCGGAGAGCGAAGTGCCCCATATCCCTTCCTAAGGTACTAGTACTTGACAGACTGCCACCTTCTTTAGAAAACTCAACAGCTACAGCCCTAGACATAGATGCTTGTGGACATCTTCGAGGACTTGCTCCACTATCACCAAACAGACGAGTTGCAGAGTTACTGATTGGACAAGATTGCCCAGATGCCCTGACTCCCCTCGAGTGTCGGACGGGGCCGGATGGAGCACCTTTTGCAATAAGGACAAGATTGGGTTGGACGATTAATGGGCCCCTGATTGGCAATTTAACTCACAGGTTTACAACGGAATGTTCCATGCTGACCGCCTCTACAGAAAAAACTCGTTTGGAAGAGCAGGTGAAGCGCTTCTGGGAAGTCGAAGCTTTACACCAGACCCCGGGAGATGGCTCCCCATAATCGGTAGAGGATAAACGGGTCATCAAGCTTTGGTCGTCGACTGGACAGACAGTGGAGGGACACTCCCAATTCCATTCCGACGTCAACCGCCCTGTCTACCTGACAACAAAGCGCTCGCCGAGCGTCTCCTACTGGGACTAAGGAAACGCCTATCGAAGGACACAAGGTTGAGACTCCGGTACAAGGTGGAGATGGAAAAGTCATTCAACGAAGGCTTCGCCGAAAGGGTGCCACTAATGGCAATTATCGAAGTCTGGTGGAAGTAGCAGGTACCTGCCTCATCACCCAGTACTAAACCCCAACAAACCAGACAAGGTACGGATAGTCTTCGATTGTGCAGCAGCCTTCACGAAGACTTCACTCAACAACCAAGAGCTCCAAGGACCAGACCTCAACAACAAATTGATTGGAGTACTCATGCGGCTTAGACAAGAGCCGATCGCCCTGATGGCCGACATCGAAGCAATGTTCCATCAAGTGAAGGTAAACCCCGAGCACAGAGACGCTTTACGATTTCTCTGGTGGGAAGGTGGAGATTTGACACAAACGCCAATGACATGTAAGATGACAGTGCATCTCTTCGGATGAGTGTGGCGTCCCTCGTGCGCGGCCTATGCTCTGCAACGGACCTTCCAAGACTTCGGAAATGTGTTCTCAGATGCCGCAAATAGAGCGAAATCAAATTTCTATGAAGACTACGTGCTCCTGTCAGTAACTGAACCCAAAGAAGCAATTATAATATCTCGGCAGTTGCGACATCTTCTATCCCTGGAAGGTTTCAAACTCACAAAATGGATCAGCAACGACAAAGAGGTCCTCAACACAATACCATTTGAAAGTCGACATGCTGGAGTGAAGGAAGTGAACCTGGGATGTGAAGACCTACCCACGGAGAGAGCCTTGGGAGTCATGTGGGACCTAAATGGAGACCAGTTTGCAGCAAAAGTTCAGGTTCCCACCCGACCGGCGTCAAAAAAGGGCTTACGAGCAGTGGTACGCTCGGTGTATGACCCTCTGGGATTCATCTGCCCATTCACCATCAAAGCCAAGCTCATTTTCCAAGACGAAAGCAGGCGGAAGAAGAACTGGGATGAAGACATCACCAAGCAAAACCTTCACAAGTGGTTTTGCTGGCTTGAAGATTTGAAATCACTATGACACTTCAATGTTCCTCGCTGCTACAGACCCGGGGGCCTGGGTTGTGCCACCTCATCGCATCTCCATCACTTCTGTGACGCCGCACAAGTAGCTTATGTAGTTGTGACGTACCTACTGTTAGTAGATAATGAAGGTAATGCCAGATGTTCTTTTGTTTGTGGCAAGGGTCGTCTGGCCCCTCTCAAACAGCTAATGGTCCCAAGGCTAGAACTCTGTGCAGCAGTCATGGCGACAAGAGCAGACCAGACAATCAAGAGTGAAATTGGTGTCCCACTTGAAGAATCCGTGTTCTGGACGGACAGTATGAGTGTGGTCAAGTACATCGCCAACCTAGAGAAACGTTTGCATACCCTTGTTGCCAACAGGATTTCAGCTATACATGAAGTCACGGAGAAGGCCCAGTAGAAACATGTACGATCAAAATGGAATCCAGCAGATGATGCTACAAGAGGCATACCTGTTGAAGACATGTTAAAAGAATGCAGATGGATTGATGGTCTCTCTTTTTTGTCTCTACCTGAGGAGTACTGGCCGAGAAAACCGGAAATCAGATACGAACTTGAGAATGATCCCGAGGTTAAGCTCGAGGCGCTGTCATTAGCCACAGCAGGAAATAATGCCGATGCCATCATGCAACTACTATGGAGCAGGCACTCATCATAGCATGCGCTGTAGAGAGGTGTATCCTGGATCAAGCGAGTATCCAGCATCCTGAGACACGACTTTCAGGGTGCAACATCGAAGCCACTGGAATTGCCTGAACTGTGGAATTCCAAGTGGGCCATCATTTGGTTCCTGCAACGGGAGGCCTATGGTGAGGAGATGAGCCTCCTGCAGCACCGAAGCTGCCACGACAAAGTCGACTGTACCAACTAGAGCCATACCTAGGCCAAGACGGGCTGCTCAGAGTAGGAGGAAGGTTGCAAGATCCCAAAGAAAGAACTGGACCAGTACTACTGCCCAGAGACCACCCAGTGACCAAACTTATAGTGCGAGAAGCACACGCTGTGGGCTCTGGCCATTCCGGGAGAGAACATACATTGTCCATACTCCGGTGTGAGTTCTGGATAGCCCGGTGCCGCCCTCTGCTCGATAAGATAATCAAGGAGTGTGTCACTTACCGCCGTAACAATTGGCAGCCCACTAGGCAGAGGGAAGTCATGCTGCCCGAAGACCGGACCAAGCCCGGGGAAGGCCCTTTACTTACACAGGCACTGATTGCTTTGGCCCTTTCACAGTAAGACAAGGACGAAAAAGTACCAAGAGATATGGCTGCATATTCACCTGCCTAGCTACTCGTGCAGTATACCTGGAGGTGTTGGAGTCTCTAGGTACAGATGCACTCCTAAACGCTACTGTCTGCTTCATCGCCAGAAAGGGTACGACTCCGAAAGGGTACGACTCCGAAACGTATTCGTTCAGACAATGGCACCAACATGGTTGGGGCTTGCAAGGAACTCCGTGCGGCAGTTCGTAGTTGGAGAAATGATGAACGCATACACAGACACCTTCAGAAGAAAGATATAGAAAGGGTTTTCAACCCTCCAGCGGCTTCGCACGTGGGAGGAGTGTGGGAACGGCAAATCCGAACAGTCAGAAAGGTTCTCAGAGCAATTGTGGGGACCCATGTCCTGGATGAATATCGACTGCAGACTCTATTTTGTGAAGTGGAAGCATTCATAAATAGTTGACCCATCACCCCTGCCTCGAGCGACGTGAGAGACCTGGAAGCGCTTCCACCAGCCCACATCCTCCACGGCGGCCCACACGCTGATCTGTCACTAGGAGGATGTCCTCCGAAGGACTCGTATCAACGATGGTGGTGGCACGTGCAGTTCCTAGCACACCGCTTCTGGAAACGCTGGGTGAGGGAGTACCTTCCACATCTCCGCAAACGACAGAAGTACATAGAATCAACCCAAAATCTCCAGGAAGGCGACTTTGTCCTCGTCACTGGAGAAAATCTTTCTCGCAACAAATGGCTATTGGGCAGGGTCACGGCAGTGGTTCCAGGAGCTGATGGTCTGGTGCGACAGGTGCGTGCAAACAGTATCTGGGGAGTTCCGAAGGCCAATGAGCCCGTGTATGCCTTCTTGAACACGCCACACCGTAAATCTTGGGCAATTGCCCAACGCCGGGAGTATTATCGCCACTGGCATATTTTCACTGGTGTAAGTGCTGACGTTTTGCTGATTTACCCGAACAAAACATTAGATCTTAGCCTGCGAACATATGAGGTCCAGTGGCTGGGGAATGTCTGCAGGTGCTGCTGAAGAGAGTGATCCCAGCAGGTGCTAGACTCTGTCTCTTGTGGGAGAATCTGCTAGCTGGGGACTCGGTGCTGGGAAAGGAAGTCCCCCTCCCGACCTTGACTTATGGCATGTTACCGCCACAGTAGAATAAACTAGAAGGGAGAGAGAGAGAGAGAGAGAGAGAGAGAGAGAGAGAGAGAGAGAGAGAGAGAGAGAGAGAGAGAGAGAAGGGGGGACAGGAGAGAGACAGAGTGAGTGTTGACAACGAGCTTCGCTGAGGTGTTAAGTGAGAAACAGATGGTCCCCCGCCTCCAACTGACTAGCTCGATCAGTCTCTAGCTGTCCAGTGAGCCATCAAGTCAGGGAGTTAATAAGTCCTACATTAGACCCGAAACACGTAAGTTTTATATCGTTTAACACCATACTCTACTCAAATGTATTATGTGTAGTCGTTAATAGTCATGGAACATATGATTGAATTAATTATCTCATACGTAACATATGTAATTTGTACTCTGCAGGTTTGGCTGAATAAAGAACAATCGAGTCCTACGTGCAAGGGTCTCATTATCCCACAGTCGCTCATTGGGTGGTTACAATGAATACAATGGCAAGTGTGACTCCATCTGCCTCTGAGTTATGACTCCCCCTTAGTGTCCCTGGGAAGGAGCTGTCGGCCCCTTATATTGGAGCTATCATGCCTGCAGATCTCGTCACTAATCTGGGTGTGTTTGGCCAGATGTCAGGTGTACTGGCTGGGTAGCTTCGTGAATTAACACAGTCATAACGCCGGTTTGACTAATCACGCGGCAGTGAGAACTCTGTTTCATTGTGACCGTGACCTCTGCCGGGTCAGGTCTTACTCTCACTTTAATTACGAAGGGTGGGTCAATTTACGTGAGTGTACGCCTGTGCATCCGGTTACTGCTACTTATCTGGCTGTAAGCTATGGTCTGATTAACAATCATTACACCAATCTCTCATACTCTTATACTTGTCTCTCACATTCTCACACCTGTTTCACATTCACGCCTGTCTCTCCAACACTAATACTTGTCTTTCACACTCTCAAACCTGTTTCACATTCTCAAACCTGTCTCTCACACTTTCATTCCTGTCTCTCACACTCACATCAGTGGCGCACCCAGGAGGGGTTTCCTGGTTGCCCGGAAACCCTTCCCCCTCCAGGTACTGCATAGTACAGCCAACCCATACCTGACCTGGCGAGACCTTAGTAACACGAAGGTTGGGTCAATTTACCTGACCTCACCCCACACCACGGTAACTTCCACCACCTCTGCCATTCCCATGCACCTGAATGCACTTTATATACAGCACTGCCAAACAGTGTGAAATAGTGAGATTTAATGTGTTTTTTTCATTTTCCCATCTACATTGTAGTTTTCCAACTACACTGACCACCACCCTCTCCCAGACACCAAGTTCCATATTCCCCAACGTGAGGACCCTGCTCATTATCCTGTGCACCCGGCCAGTAACGACATGCTCTGCAGAAAGATCATTCAGTGGACTGAAACGAATAAAAACAACACTCAGATCAACAATGGGGAATGAGAGACTGACAGGCCTGACATTACTACACATGCACCGAGATACACCAGTGGATATAAACCAAGTAATTGACACATTTGCACAGAGAAATCCCAGGAAGATGAAATTTGCCAATGTACTTGCAGAAAAATAAAGGCAATGTATTTTACGGGTGTTCAAAAACTGTTAAGCAAATTTTATGAGCTCTGTTAGTGTTCAATGTTAGTTAGTCATTATATACAAGTATTAACATGCTTAATGATTGTTACACATTCAGTACAGTAATAACCATATTATCTAATATACTATAGTGCCATCCGAATGTCTGTCTGTCTGTCTGTTTGTCTGTCTGTGCAGCCAAAACGGCACAATCGTTTTTCATCAAACTTGGTGGAAAGATCGCAAAAAATTCGTAGAGTGGAACAAACCTGGTCCCTTGGCGATGGTTTCTTTAGGAAGGCATTAGTTAACAATTATATTTACAATGGAAAACGATGCAAGTCTACGGACTTGGCTCACCCTCATTCGCTGTATGGAGTCAACCCACGATTGCAGTTATCGTACGGCTCCATCCTCCTCCCCCCACTTTTTTTCTTAGCCTACTTTTTTTTTAATGTTGTTTGGGTTAGTAAAGGACGAAAGATGAGTAAATAGAAGAATAAAGAAGGGAAAACAGAAAATAGTTAGAGATAACAGGTGGGGGCGAGCTGAGTTTCATCATGCGTCTGGATGCGCAGTTTCAACGTTACCAGACGACCGTATAGCTACTATTACGAACCACGCCATCTATTGTGTCATGATCTAACTACCCAGCACTACCGAGCAACGCCATCTAGGGACGAAACCCAAGTATGACTAGTCTTAGTCACCACTCCGGGTTTCCTTTCTCTATATCCTGGTTGTTGCGTCACCTCCTCCAACTCTTCCTCATCAGCTCCGGATCGAGGAGAGTTCAGTTCACTCTGGGAAGTGACCACACCTGGATTACCTATCCTGGAGACCTACGGCACAGTGACTACCTACCATCTTCAATACTCAGCCCTAATCATCAGACACTTCAGCACCGCACTTGAGTATTGTAATCCTATATATCCTCCCACCTCCACTTGCTTCAGATTGTTGTATGTTGTATAAATATGTATATACTGTTAAGCCAATGTTGCGTATGTTTAAGTTAAGTATGGTTAAGGGTAAATTATAGAAAGCTGGATATTTTGTTAAGGAATTTATGGTACTTTATTATACACAACAAAAACTCGCATCCTTTGTCTACCCTTTTATAGTCCGATTGTCTTTGTTTATTTAGTTTTTTTATTGTTGTTGCCTGTTGGGATCTGGGTAGACTTTTAACTATATTCTAAACCAGTTTCTAAACCCCCAACTCGTAACATTACAGTGTATACTTATTCCTGTGGCTGACTGTACATGGAAAAGAGATAATAACAGGAATGCATGGAGAAGATGACTACAATAGATACAGGGGGAATATAGACAGATTCATGCATGCACAAATAGACTATATGGCAACTAACATGACAGACAGACAGCTGACTGACTGGTTCGCATTACACTAACAGGCAGACACACACCAACAATGGATAA